AACCCACAGGTTGAGAACCTCTGCCTTAGTCTGGGAAAGAGTTTATTTTTCCTTCATTTATGAATTTTAGTTTTGTGGTATATAAAACAATTGGCTGGCAGTTACTTCGTTTAGGAAGACTAAAGATAGGACCCCATTCCTTTTTGGCTTGTAAGGTTTCTGTTCTGTAGTCGACTGTTAGTCTGATAAGTTTTCTTTTGCAAGTTACTTGATGTTTTTGCCTCACAGCTCACAGTAGTTCCTCCTTCACGTTGACTTTGGCTGGTCTGATAACTACATATGTTGGTGATAATCTTCTTTGCAATGAATCTCCTAGGTGTTTGTTGAGTTTCATGTATCTGGATGTCTAAATCTCTAGCAAGATCAGGGAAGTTTTCTTTGATTATTCATCAAATAGGTCTCTCAGGCCTCCTCCTCCTCCTTCTCCTCCCTCCTCCTTCCTTTTCTGCTTCCTCCCTCTTCCTCCATCATCATCATCCTTGGAGGTGCCCATGATTCCTACCTGTAGCTGTGTTACATAGCCTCACATTTCTTGTAGACTTCTTTCATCTTTCTTGATTCTTTCTTCTTTATTTTTGATTGACTGGGTTAATTCGGAAGAGTCTACAAGCTCTGAAATTCTTTCTTCTGCTTGCTTGCTCTAGTCTGTTCTTAAAACTTTCCCATATGTTCTCTATTTCCCTAATTTTTCCCTTTTTTTTTTATTTCCAGAAGTTCTATTGGGAATGTGTGTGTTGGTATGTGCATATGTATGTATCTCTGTGTGTGTGTGTGTGTGTGTGTGTGTGTGTGTATTACATTTTTCATTTCATTTCCTGAGTTACTTTTCTGGTTGCTTCAAGTTGGTTTTCTATTTTCTCTAGGATCTCTTTGAGCTTCCTGAAGTCCACATTTGAAAGTCTTTATCTGTCATTTTAGTATTTTCATTTTGGTTGGGATCCATTGCTAGGGAGCTGGTGTGTTCCTTTGGGCTGTGCTTTCACTCTGATTATTCATTCTTCTTGAGTCCTTGTGCTCATTCCTTCTCAGTTTGGACCCACCCGCACCCCCAGGGTGTGTCTATAGCATATGTTGGGTAAGAACTTTTTTTTGCTAGTGGGTAATTTGATGGGGGTCTAAGAGGGTACCTTGGTTATAGATACCCATAGTGTGCTGGTTTTCTGAATTGCTAGTTATGTGCAGGCTGTAGCAGTGGTGAGCTATGGGCATGGGTAGATTTCCTGCTTCTTACCAATAAGGGAAGATGAAGGTCTCCGAAATCCTTCCTCTTTCCCTAGCCCTGTGTTCTTGACAGTATGAATCATGTTGGAATGCCCAGTTTAATCTGTAAGGCGGTAAGTGGTGCTTGTGGGTAAGAGTCAGCCACTCCCTAAAAGATTTGAGTCAGTAAATGCTGTGATGGGCACCTGCAGGACAAGACCCAGCTACAGCAGTGTGTTTTGGAACCTGTGGCCAACTTTAGTCAATCAGGAGAAGCAGTTGAATGTCGCAGGTGTTGGGCAGGCCACTGGGGAAAGCCACCAGGGAGGAGCTGAAGTGTCCCCACCAAGCCAGAAATTCTGCTCCTGGTGGAGGGGTCGTCTGGCAGATGGGAGTGGGTTTCACTCTTCTCCTTCTTCCCTTGCCCCACAGATCTCCTTCTGGGGTCTGGCCACAAACAGTAGCCAAGACCAGCTGAGCTCACCAGCAGTGCCACTGCAAGCCAGGGGCCTCCCTTCCCGGAACCGTGTCCCAGGCTGAACGCAGTGCTTTCTTGAGAGGGGTGCCCAGCAGGTGTAGTGCAGCTCAGTCACACACAGCACATCCCCTCTAGGTGGCTCAGGTGGGCTCCCTTACCTCCTGACACCAGTGCACAAATCTCCCCTCCATACCCCCAAGCAACACAATCCAGTCTTGGGGTTCAGGGGTATCAGATCCCCCAAGTTTAATTCCTGACTCCAGGGAGAAGTGTCCCAGCCCTCGGAGTTGCCCTTGGAGTGGACAGGCAGGCTTGATGTCCCTCTGCTTCAGGGGTGTCCTGCTCTGCTGAAGCGGCCAGGTGGGCAGCCCTGGAGAAGGTGCACGGGTAGGGAGTTCATCGTCTGACCACACCTTGGTCCACTGTAGCTCTTGAAGAGGAAAGGCACGAGCCCTGTTTTCTATGGAGGCCTTGATGTGCTGGATGTGCCGACATGAGGGAAGCTGCCTGAGCGCTGCCTCACTCGCTCCTCAGGGCACTCACGCCGACTCACACGGGAACCACCACGGCCACGTTGGCAGCTGTGAGTGGGGGAAGGCAGGAAGAGGAGAGACAGAGGGAGAGAGCTGGTACCCAGTTCCTGTGTTCCCGAGGTACTCCCCTGGCTGTGTGCTGTCCTGACCTCTCTCTGAGAGCAGCCCACCCTGAATGTCCCAGCTCTGGATCACACCGTTCCTCTGGGACCCACTGGCTCCTTGTGCCACTGCGCTCTAAGCAGGAGTTGGGAAATGTTTCTGTAATAAGTGGGGATCACTGACAAGAAAACTGAAGGTTGAGTCCCCCTCCAGGGGGACAGAGGCACACAGTGGGTGGAGGGGCAGCCTGGCACCTGGCTTCTTGGCATGTCTCTGGACGATGGAAGCAGCTCCAAGGCCCAGTGTCTCTTCTCACGACCTCCCGGTGCACTGGCGGCAGGAGCTTCAGGGTGTGAGGGTGGGGAAAGTCCCCTGCAGTTCAGGAGCCTGCAGTCTGCCAGAGGGTGAGGAAAGGAGAAGCAACACCTTCACCTACCTTTCCACGGGCTCCACATTCCGCAGGTTTGATCTCCGCCAAAATCTTGCTCCTCCTCCTCCTGCTCCACAGAGGCTGACCGTGGAATCTCCAGTACACCTGGCACTCTTCCCTCAGAATTACACCTGGGCTATAATTTTTTTTAATGTGAAACTTCTTGTTCTTTCTGAGATGATGTGGTGACTGATGGCTCTCGTCAGCCCTCTTGCCTCCAAGCTTCCCCGTATATCAAATGTGTATGTTTGTAAGAGGCTTGGAGTGATTTGCTGGTTGAAGGTGTTCAGAAGAGACGTCTGGGAGACAGGTGGGGAGAAAGCTGGGCTCTCAAGTCAGATTTGCCTCTTAGGGATGGATGAATTCTGGAGTTTTACTTTTTAATATCTGTCTTTATTCTTTTTCTATTAGAAAACCTTTTCACTGTAAATTTTTTTTTTTTTTTTTTGAGACAGCCTCACTCTGTTGCCCAGCCTACAGTGCCATGGCATCAGGCTAGCTCACAATAACCTCAAACTTCTGGGTTCAGGCAGTCCTCTTGTCTCAGCCTCCAGAGTAGCTGGGACTATAGACGCCTGCCATCATGCCCAGCTAATTTTTCTACTTTTAGTGGAAATAGAGGTTTTACTCTTGCTCAGGCTGTTCTTAAACTCCTGAGCTAAAGCAGTCCTTCCACCTCAGCCTCCCAGAGTGCTAAGATTACGGGCACGTGAGCCACCTCTCCTGGCCTCATTGGGATTCCTTTATCCCTCCTGTCAGTTTTCTGTACCTGAAAGCCTATCCTGCCTTGCTGCAGAGGATATGTAGGTTCACAGTGGGACATTGCCTTATTTCAGTGAACCAGGTTCTGACCCAAGGCTTCAGAACACTGAGTTGTAGAGCTGAGTATGGCAGCTCACGCCTACAGTCCTAGCACTCTGGGAGGCCGAGGCGGATGGATTGCTTGAGCTCAGGAGGTCGAAACCAGCCTGAGCAAGAGCAAGACCCTATCTCTACTAAAAAAAAAAAAAAAGAAAAGAAAAGAAAAACTAGTTAGACATAGTGGCTTGAGGCTGAGGCAAGAGAATTGCTCATGCCCAAAAGTTTGAGGTTGCTGTGAGCTATGAAACCAGGAATTCTATCCAGGGTGACAAAGTGAGACTCTGTCTCAAAAAGAAAGAAAGAACTTTGAAGTGAGTTTAAGATATGGCTTGTGCAAAATCATTTAACCATACAGACTCAATGCAGACTGTCTTACTAAGAAAAGAAACCCAGACTTGTCTAGGAGACAGCACTAGTTTAACATAGAGTGCAGTGGACTTAGAATCGAGAGACCTGGTTTATTATGACCTTGAATGAATAACAGTTTTTATTTCCTCAGCTGTAAAATAGAAGTTACCTGTCCTGCTACAAGAGTCAAGTGCCAGTATTAGCTTCAGAAATAAAATACCGTTGTCATTAAGATCTAGTTTACACCTAGTCCCAACTGTCAGCATCACTTACTGATACCCCTGTGGTTGCCCTGTTGCCTACCCAGATGGAGGAGGTAGAGGGGGAAACATTCGTCTGTCCTGATCACAAAGCTCTGGTGTCTGCCTTGGCATCCAGTTGGCAGAGTGAAGGATCCTTAACTTTAGAAACAGATGTATTAGATACCCATGTGGAGCACGTTACTACTCTGGTATTATATAAATTCAGTAATTCAACAACTGCAATTCTAGGCATTTTTTTTTTTATGGAGCTTTTAAATGATGATGCTACTTATCAACCCAAATTATAAATATTAAATAGGAAAATCTAAACATTCATTCCAGAGTTTGAGTAATAAAATTGGTAAACAAAGAAGCATACAAAAAATGTATCAGTCTTGCTGTGGTCATGTACTCTGGGAGGATTTGTGTGAGAAATTGGAAGTAATTGCTATGTTAATATCACTGGGGTTCAATTATCTTCTGCTCCACCATACTAGGAAATTGCACAAGCCCCTCAGCCAGTGTGATGCTGGCAGCTTTTAGAGGCATGTGTGTTTTTTCAATCTTTTTTTCCCCCTCCTCTTGTTATTTTTTGACACCCCCGCCCCGTTTAAGACGATTTTCCAGCTGTTCCCCTAAGCAGTAGTTTTATGGGGAGATTTCTTTTGTGGGCTTCCAGCTGGCTTCATTTGCACCATCTCCGTGAAGTTGCTGCCTCTGTCACATTTGTATGATACTATCCATCAGGCATCACCTCGGGATTCCCCTTCTCATTACTGACTTCTTGGTTTTGTTTCCACGTGCAGGCTGTCTCCTGGTTCCGACATCTATGTGACGGTCTCATCCATGGCTCTCGCAAGATCCCAGTGTCGTAACTCCCCCAGCAATCTGTCGTCATCCAGCGAGACTGGCTCTGGCGGGGGCACTTACAGGCAGAAGTCCATGCCCGAAGGGTAGGTATACGTTTGTCCCGTTGACCCTGGTCACTGGTGACCCTGCTGTCTTTGATCTATACGCAGACATGTGAGATGATTTCCATTCAGCCAGCTTCAATCAGCTTCCAGTCCGAGGGGAAAATGCAGATAATATTCCAGATAGAAAAAGGTTTTAACAGTTGCTTCAAACTACTGCTGAGGAAGCTCGCCATCCTCTGATTTTTGATAAACTCAGTGGCAGAGAAATCAAATTACGTTGGTTTCTCCGTCATACATTGTTCAGTTTCACAGTTCAGATTTTGTCACTTCTTAATTCCAAAGTGAGCTTAGCAGAATTCTGCTTGCCCTGGCGTTCATGTTGCCATTAACATCGGGGAAATGATAATTACATCTAAAGCTTCAAGTTATTTGTCTCAGACTTTAAATAAGTCTTTTGTGGGTTTGTTTTTTAAAAAATCTTTCATGAAACACTGCTCAAAAGTAACTATTCACTTCTAGAAAGACAAAATAAAAAGCTAACTGTACATGACTTTACAGGCCACAAAAAGGAGAAAAAAATGCAATGTCTGAAGCTGGGAAGTAATTAGCAGCAAAACATTACCTGGCCACATACATTACCTTTGCCCAGAGGACAAGTAAAATAACCATCAGAGACTCCCCACTGCGAGTTCTCTCTCTCGTGAACTTGAACCATTTGAAACTCAAGTGGGAGAGATTTATAAAAACTGATGTTTCTATTCTCCATTTTCCCCAAATAAATATATATGTGTGTATGTGTGTGTGTATATATATATATATTATATTTTTTTTTTTTTTT